GCCTGGCTCTTGGCCGCTGTCTGTGTGTGTAAGGGGTTTTCAAGACCCACGTGGCATGGGCAGAGGCACTTGAAGAAGGCAGACACCACACGGCATGGGGGTCAGAAAAGGCCAAGGGTCCCCTTCCATCCTGCAGAGCCCAGGATCTGCAGGAACCACTGAGCCAAAGCCTGGATTTGGCAGGGGGCTGTCAGGGCAGGAGGGACAGGGCCTAGGCCCCTCCCACGAGAACCCCAAAGCATCCGCCCTCCTGGTCCACTCACCCCAGGCCCTCAGGCCTGGAGATAAGAGGGTCATTCCAGTCCTGAGCAGAGCTGGCCGCCTGCTCTAGAGCAGCCAGGCGACCAGGCTCGGACAGGCACCACCCATCGCCCCTGTGTCCCCTCACAGAGCAGTGCTGCCCAGCCCCGAGCAGGGGTGCCCTGGCACCTGCCTCACCCTGGTCCCTCCTTTCCTGGCTCCTTCCTCCCTGGGGCAGCAGCCAGCGCCACCCCCTGCTCCACCCTTTCACTTTTTCCCTTCCCCAAGCGGACAGTCGGGCCTGGATATCACAGCTGCAAAACACACGCCCCATGACAAGACAGGCTGTGGAATGTCCTGCTCGGGACAGCACTCCCCGCACCTGACACAGCGCCTGCTGCCTCCTCTCCACCCTCGCCCATCCCTGGGGTGAGCGCCAGGGGCTGGGGCAGGGGGCAGGGCTGAGGACAGCCAGGCCTCCACACAGGCCCGGGGCCTGCACCTCCTGCCCCACAGGGCGCACGCAGCAGGGCCTGGTTTTCCGTTTGCAAGGCCCCCGGCCCGCCCACTGCCTGTAGACTCATTCATTCTTCCAGCCAATTCATTCACAGTGCTGGCTGGAGGCTCGGAATGCACGCAGGCCTCGGGTGTCGGGGTGAGGGCATGGAGGCAGCAGCCCAGACCTGCCTGGACTCTGCTGTCCATTGTCCCAGCCAGGCTGGACAGGAGCCTGGGACAAGAACCACAGACCAGGCCAGGCTGCACAGGAGCAAGGCCCCACCTACAAGAGAGGCAGGAAAATGTAGCCCTGGGCATGGGGAAGGGTCAGGGGCGGGGACGGTGGGGCCAGGGGCCAGCATTGCCAGCCAGGGAGGCTCCATGGGTACCCGGACCTCGCCCTGAGGGTTACAGTACCTTGAAAGGGTTTTAAGTAGTGAGACACCATCAGGTGCCTCAAGTCAGGTGTTCCGTGGTGAACAGCCAAAAAGAGTTTCCTGGAAAGGTATGGGGTGGGAAGGCTTGGGCAGAAGGACAGGTGGGGTGTCAGGCTTCCAAGTGGGCTGGCGTGGGCAGCATGGGGCAGGACAGCCCAGTCCAGCTCCAGGAGGAGGGGGGGTGCGGGACACTGCCGCCCACAGCCAGAGGCGCCAGCCCAGGGCTGTGTGGATGGACGCCACTGAACTGCCCACTGCAGGCCCAGCGTCGAGCTAGAGAGCAAGGTCAGCCTGGACAGAGGTCGAGGCAGCAGCTGAATCACTGGAGGGTCTGCAGGAAGGGGCACTGGGGAGGAGTGCCACGGGGTCACCATGGGGCGCGCTGGGCTGCATGACCCAGCTGACCATGCCACACACGCAGAATGACACAGAAGCAGAACATTTTGCTGGCCACAGGTCAACCCGTCACTCCAGAGTGTCCGGCTAGGCCACGCACTGGACAGGAGTTAGGGCGACAAGCCCCCGAACCTGGAGCCACAGAGAAGGCGACACTTGGAGGCCAGCAAGGGGACCTCGGGAAGAGAAAGAGGAAAGCCACGAGGTGCGGGCTGGCACAGTGCTGGGTCCTGGCGTCACAGTGTCACCCAGCACGGAGCAGGACAGCTAGAGTCCTGTCACCTCCTGCCACTGTGGATCCAGACCTGAGCTGTAGCCCCCAGGGGTCTGCTCCTCCTGCAGAGGAGCCTGAGGGTGGCCTGGGTGGGGTTGCACGCACAGGGACTTCCCCGCGGGGGCCGCCCTTGAGGACAGCCACGTGGCCTCCCACTCGCCCCCTCTGCTCCACAGGGAGAGGCTCGAGGAAGGGCCAGGGCCGATCACGTGGCCACCAGCTGTCGGGTGCCGTGGTGGGGGAGCACAACACCTGCCTGGTCCACTCTTCAGCCGGGTGTGGGCGCCACAGCTGCGCCGGCTGTGGACGGAGCTGGGCTTCTCCCAGCCAGCGCTGTCCTGCCACCCATGGGGACGCTCATGGCCAAGTTGCTCCTGCCCACCCTCAGCAGCCTGGCCCTGCTGCCCACCATCAGCGTTGCCGCCAAACGCCGCTTCCACATGGAAGCCATGGTCTACCTCTTCACCATGTTCTTCCTGGCTGTGAGTCTGGGCCACAGCCGGTGGAGACGGGGCTGCTCCCTGGCTGTCTGTGTGGGAGTCCGGGGGTAGCAGAAGGGAAAGGAAGAGCTCAGGGTGGGTCCGGGCCTGGGGAGGGAGTGTCCCCGGGGCCCCTCGTGTCTCTGGGCCTCAGTTTCCCCATCTGTGCAGGAAGCTTTCCGGCCTCGGTGGCCCGGGTCCATGTTTGAGGACCACCGCTCCCTGCGCCTTCCCCAGCCTCCCACCTCACCTCATCAGCTTTGCCCCCAACCAGGGCCAGGGCAGGAGGAGCGGGCAGGGGCTGGCTCTGGGTCGGTGCGGCCGGGGAGTGTGCGCTGGCCCAGAGGGATATCTTTCTCTTGCTGTTTCTGTCGGCTCCCTGGGGCTCCGCTCCCTCTCCTCGCCCCTCCGTTTCCAGGTAACCCTCATGGGTGGATTTCTGCGTCTTTCATAAAGCGGAGCACCTGGCATCCACTGCCTTGGGAGGGCCTGGGCCTGGGCCTCTCCCTCCCTCTTCCGCCTTGGTCTCTCCTGTTTCTCCTTCCTGTGCCATGGCCTCTCATTCTCTCCCTCTCTTCCCTTCTCTCTCCATTTCTGGACCTATATCCCTGCAGAACTCACCTCTCCCCAGACCCTTGGCCTCCCGTCGCCAGTGCGGCCCCCAGCACCTCCCAGCTACCCATCCACACCTCTAGCTTGCCCCATCTCCTCACGTACCTGCCACCCGCACGGTGTCCGTCTCTGTAGCCCACCTATGCGCTCCACGGCCTGACTAACAATCCGGCAATCGCCGTCTCCACCCACTGCCATCTCTTGGTCCTAGTATCGAAGTGTCCTCCCCGCTCCAAGTCCCCCAGGCATCCCCCAAGAGCCACCTGCTGGTCTCGCACAAGACCCCCTCTCCCAGGCTCTGTCCTTCAGGCTGGCCCTCCCGGACAGCTCGGCCCCATGGGAGGGGATCCTGGGGAGGGGGCAGCCACTAGCACCCTTTGCAGCAGTGGAGCCCGTGAACACCCTCTGGCCTTGGGGCTGGGCCCCGCCTGTGTGCACGCCCGGCAGCTCTGGCTGGCGAGGCCCTGTGAGCCCCTGGCTGCACGCTGTGCCCACATGCCTGCTCTACCCGGGCCAGCCGGGGCCAGCTCCACCTACAGCACACAGCTGCAGGTTTGGGGGGCACGGGTCCCCTCCTGGATGTGGTGCTGCCGAAGTTACAGTGGCCTGGGACAGGGCTGGCCCCAAGGGGCCAAGTGCCCTACAGCCGGCATCCCCCTGGGGTGGAGATGCCAGCAAGAGCCTGGTGTCCCATTGCCACTGGACAGTGAAGAGACCGAGGCACAGGCGGCTGAGGTCGTGCCACCCCAGCATCACATGCTCTGAGCTGTGTGTCTCCCAGGCCCTGTCTGTGCCGCCGCACCTGCTCCCGGAGGGCCCAGCCCAGGGCCAGCAGCAGTGTCTGCTGGGAGAAGAAAAGCCCCCTCAGAGCCCAGGCCAGGGACAGAGGGGGTCTCGTCCGCAGGGCTCAGGCACCAGCGAGGCGCCCTGCCCACTGGCCAAGCCCACAGCTGCCCCCTCAGCCAGCCTCAGAGGCCACAGCCCCGCCCAGCCCCCTGGAGTGGCAGGGCCAGCTGCCTCCTGCGACAAATGTCCTCCAGCGTCAGGGCCACAGTCTGCTCCGCCCAGACTCCTGCTGTCACGCAGCCTCCCCTGTGAGATGCCGTGGAGGGTACTCTGTCCCTAGGGTTCCCTGAAAGCCCCGCAGAGCGTCTGTCTTTATCCCAGACAGACGGGCCCTGAAGGTTCAGCCTCCCACCTCGGCCCCACAGCTCGGATCCACCAGGCCTTGCACAAACTGAGCCCCCGCCACCCCACAGCACCCTCACGGGGCTGGGCCGGGAGGCCGTTTGCTGGCCCCTGTCTTGCCAGCACCTCCCATGGTGCTGTTCACCGGCCCACATAGCTCACAGAGCTGGCCCAGCAGGAGGAGTGAGGGCCGGGCCAGATGGCCTCTCTCCCACAGAGGTTAGGGCGCCTTGATCAACCCCCACCTGAAGCTCTCCTTCCCTCGTGCCCTCCCACAGGTGTGAGCCCAGGAGTCTGTTGAGAACACAAGCTGAGCCCCAGGGCCAGTAGAGCGTGGGGGGCCCTTCTTCGCCAGTGTGTCACTGCTGGGAGGGCAGGGCGCAGCAGGCCCAGCTCAAGGCAGCTCTCCGGCCGCGCGCGAGTCCCACCCTGCCCTGGCTGCTACCCTGGACTGCCGCCCCCACTGCGGTCAGCGGCTCCAAGCCAGGCCCGGCTTACCAGGCTGGCCCGGTCCTCCCCCCAGCCCGGCTCACCAAGGGCCCTTGTGCTACTCTCCAGCTGAAGCTGTCAAAATAATTATGTCATGCAATTCAATATTACCTCAAATGACAGTGTGCGCGTGCGGAGGGAGGGAGCTGTTCTCCGGGAGAAGTAGGCCGCCTGCTTGGAAAACACCCCTCAGGATATTTCACTTTAAAAACAGAGTTCAGTCAGGTGTTGGGGAGACAGCAGCAGGAAGTGGGGGAGACCAGCAGGTGTGGGCCCTGGGAGTCTGTTGAAAACACAAGGGGCCGGGGAGATGGCTCAGTGGAATAAGCGCTTCCCTGGCAAGCACAAGGGTCTGAGTTCAATCCCTGGTTCCACCGAAAAAAAAGAAAGAAAGAAAGAAAGAAAGAAAGAAAGAAAGAAAGAAAGAAAGAAAGAAAGAAAGAAAGAAAACAGGATCTCGGGGCCCCAGGTTGAGTAGTGCCTGGGGGAGGCCTCGGACCTTTCTCAGCAGGGCCCCAGCCCCTGGGCCCCTCCAGCCTGGGGACACAGCTGTGTGGTAGTCCAGTGCTTCTGTGGGTCACCAGGGCCTGAGGGCACCCCAATAAGACCCTGACCTGGCACCCAAAGACTGGCCCAGAGCCAGGCACAGAGGGAGGGAGGGAGGGAGGGAGGGAGGAAGGGAGGGAGGGAGGAGAGAGGCTTCCAAGCGGACACCAGAAGGAGGGCATAGATTAGGTTTTGCCCCTACCTCTCAGGCTTTGGTGGCTGCCCTACCTTGAGCCGCTACAATGGGACATGGCTGAGCTTTCCACACTGGGGCTGAGCCCCCACCTCCCGGGCATCCCCATGGCACTCTGATCAAACACAAGGTGCCGGCCCCGTGTGCCCACAGCTCCACCACGCCTGCGCCGGGCCCGGCCTGTCCATGCTCTGCTTTCTGCGGCACGACGTCCTGGAGTACTTCAGCATCTACGGCACAGCGCTGAGCATGTGGGTGTCCCTCATGGGTGAGTGGAGCCACCCGGCTCGGGCCCCTTGCAGGACCCAGTCACCCCATTTCACTCCCCCAGGGGTCTTTAATGAAAACAGGGTACTCTCCTGGGAGGCAGCATCCCGCCTTTCCTGTAAAACGGACTGAGCAGCCGGGGATGGGGGTGCACACCACCTAGCAATCCAGTACTCAGGGAGGCTGAGGCAGGAGAATCAAAGTTCAAGTCCACCCTGGAGAACTTAGTGAGCCCCTGCCTCCAAGTGAAATGCGGTGGGGATGCAGCTGGGGAAGGCCCAGGGCTCACCCCAACACTGCAATCAATCAATCAGCCAGGATCAAACAGGCTAAATCCAGAGCTGTCCAGCCTGGACGAGGCCACGGGATCAGCCTCCGTGTCTGGGCACAGCCAGCAGGGTGAGGCGCATCACCATCCGGTGTCTCTGCCCCAGCGCTGGCCGATTTCGACGAACCCCAGAGGTCGACCCTGGTGATGCTGGGTGTGCTGACCATCGCCGTGCGGACCTACCACGACCGCCAGGGCTACGGCGTGTACTCGGGCCCCATCGGCACTGCGGCACTCATCATTGCCGCCAAGTGGGTGCGTGTGGCCTGCCCTCCTCCCCTTGGGTCTCCCGGGGAGCGTGGCAGGAGCCCGGAGCCATGGCGACCGGGAGCCCTGCTTCCCCCTGTGTGTGTCCCCACTGCAGTCCCCAGCCTGGGTGACACGGGGCCCCTGCCCGGATGAGCCTCTTCCACGCCACGCCTCACTAGTGTCCCAGGTGGCCTGAGCATGCACTGCAGGAATCTAAGACAGCCCAGAGCTCATCACGAGTAGGACGGCAGCTGGGGGCAATCTGGGAAAACTCCCTGGAGGCTGTGAGCCCGGGCCCGCCTTGGCCTGGAAGGAGGGCCTGGATGGGGTTGGCACCCCTGAGTCAGTATCCAGCCCCGAGGACCCCAGGGCACACACCCACAGCCCAGCCGAGCCCTCTGGGGCCTGCCTCCCGCTGCAAGGATGGGGCACACTCAGGTCCCAGTGTGGTGGGCTCCTGGGAGCCACCCAGAGTGGGGGACGAAGTCAGGCATGAGAGGCCAGCTGGTTCTGGACTAGGGCCTTGGCGCAGGACGGGCCACAGCAGCCCCGGGGAGCAGAGACGGGGGTGCGGGGTGGGGGTGGGGGTGGGAGTCCCCAGGGCAGGAGGTGCCCGAGGCCTTCAGCGACATATCAGCTCCTCTCCAAGTGCCGCGTTTAGGTTGCCATTCAGTTAAGGGAGAAACTGAGGCACAAGGTGGTAAGGCCTGAACACGAGACCCTAGTAGGGCAGCTGCTTGGCTCTCACCGAGAGACAGGAGCCACGCTCCCTGCTGCAGCCTGCGGAAGGAGTGCCCTGGGCTGACCCTGAGCCCGGCTGCCTGGGGGTGGCTTGAGGTCCCCACTAATGACCGCTCTGGAATTCATAAACACAGACACCCCTCTGATAACACCCCATCCGGCCCGCCGAGGACGCTCCTTGCCGCCCTTGGCAGGCTCTGCGTCTCTGAACCCGGCTGGGTTTTAATTAGCCAGGACAGAATCTGCTCCCAGTCCCCACTGGGTGCCAGGAGGCTCCTGAGGCCCGAGACTGGAGCTGTCCCCGCAAACAGGCGATGACGGCCACCGTCCCCCGTGCCTGAGTGCAGCCTGCCTCTGAGACCACTGAGGGCCTTCATTGTGGATTTCCAAGGGTAGCTGCTTCCTGGGATGTGCACGGGTTTTCCCCCCAACCTCGTCACTCCCTGGGAGAGCTCTGGGGACACAAGCATCCTTGGAGAGCAGGAAGGGAGAGCTGAGCCCAGGCATGATCATGCGCACCTGTAATCCCGGCACTTGAGAGGCTGAGGCAGGAGCCACCAGTGACATGAGTTTGAGGCCACCCTGGGCCATGTAGAGAGACCCTGCCTCAAAAAGAAAGAGAGACAAGGAAGGAAGGAAGGAAGGAAGGAAGGAAGGAAGGAAGGAAGGAAGGAAGGAAG